GGGGGTGGAAACATCATGCTTTGGGGGTGCTTTTCTGCAAAGGGGACAGGACGACTGCACCGTATTGAGGAAAGGATGGATGGGGCCATGTATCGCGAGATTTTGGACAACAACCTCCTTCCCTCAGTAAGAGCATTGAAGATGCGTCATGGCTGGGTCTTCTGGCATGACAGTGACCCCAAACACACAGCGTGGCCTAGCCAGTCTCCAGACCTAAACCCGATAGAACATCTATGAAGGGAGCTGAAACTCCATGTTGCCCAGCGACAGCCCCAAAACCTGAAAGATCTGGAGAAGACCTGCATGGAGGAGTGGGCCAAAATCCCTGCTGCAGTGTGTGCAAACCTGGTCAAGAACTACAGGAAACGTCTGACCTCTGTAATTGTAAACAAAGGTTTCGGTACCAAATATTAAGTTCTATTTTTCTACTGTATCAAATACTTATTTCATGCAATAAAATGGAAATAAATTCTTTAAAAATCTAACAATGTGATTTTCTGGAATTTTTTTGTAGATTCTGTCTGTCACAGTTGAGGTGTACCTACGATGAAAATTACAGATCTGTCCATTCTTTGTAAGTGGGAAAACTTGGAAAATCAGCGGTGTATCAAATACTTATTTGCCCCACTGCATTTTGTGCACTTTAGCACACCATGACCATTTTCTTTTAACTTAAACCTGTCAGCTCTGCCACAGAGTGAAGAAAGACGACTTCTCTTTCTCCCTTTGGATACCTATTTTAACATTCCTACACAAATCCTTTTAAACACTGGGTCTTATTTCTGTGTTTCTGGCCATCAACAGATGCTTCACAAGCCTGTGTGTTTTCAATAATTCAATAATGGAAAGAAACTACAGACATCTACATTTCAGTTACATCTAAATCAGTGGTTCCCAAATGGTGTGCCATAAGGCAAGTTCAGGTGTGCCATGAGATTTAGTGACAACCATACATTAGTACTGCAGTGTACAATGATACAAAAAGTTCTGAATACATTTTTAAATTTACTATACCAATACCTTGTACACATTCATTTCACAATTCAGTACCAAGTACTATAGCCTAAAAGAACCACCTCAAGAAAAGAGAAGGAGAATTGTCAGTAGACAGTATCATGAAAGCTGCCCGTCTTATGGCTTCAGTTTGACCGCAGATGCCAACAGCCCTCAGCCTGAGTGCATCATCTGTTGGGAGAAGTTAGCTAATGCTAATGTGGTGCAAAGCAAGCTGAAGAGGCTTGCTTTGCACACCCCTTCCTTCTACGTTGAGAGAAATGTGGCCTAAGAGCAAAAGATGTGCACCATAGGTAGCAAGGCTGCTTGTGAGATTGTGTCGGATTGTCTGATAAGGCAATGGAGGGAAGCTACTGTATATGCTAGCAGAGCTTACTGCAAAGTAGACAAAACCGGGGTAGAGGAGACATTCATCCTTTCCGCTTGCAATTTAAAAAATAAAATGCAGGTGTTATGCTAGGTCCAGATGTCGCACATGTGCTCTCTGTTCAATACCACCAAGGATATAAAAATAAATCTGCGAGCACCAACAATGGCAAATGTTTTAATGCTGATTCAAATTTAAGCTCTTTTCAACTCAGTGTCAACCAGTTTTCATTCTCGATGCATCTCTTTTCTTTACAATTTTAGACAAAGGTTTTTTACAACTCAGGGCATATTCTCTGATATGCATTTACTGCTGATATGCAAATTAGTTTTGATTCCCTGTATCTCTCTTCTTAGTTTGGTCTGTAAGGAGTGATTACATCTTGATGCTTCCCTCTCATGCCAGATCTACCCCTCCTCTCTCACTCACTCACTTTGTTTGTCATAAGTAAATGCAAATAAACGTTTAAACAGAGACAAGGCTGATAACATGTGGTACAGAGGCTATTTTCCATGGACATGAATACAGATGTGCCTTGAGATTTTGGCTTGCTGTTTGGTGTGCCTTGGGCACAAAAAGTTTGAAAACCACTGGTCTAAATGATTTGTGAGCAACACTATAAGGAACAGGTTATGATTCTTCACTGCACTTTGAGTTACTTCACTCCAACAAAAGATTAAAAGTGAGGTAGGTCTGCAAAAGCTGTTACCACCAGCCAATACACTGAAGTCTGTTTGCCTTCTATTAGAACTACCCTGGTCATCTGAGTTCTTTTGTTGCTTAGCTTTGTGGATTCTGTTCTGTCTGTAAAATCTCAAACTATTAAAAGTCATTCCCAACCAGGTATAATTACTTTGTAACACTGTTGTTCAGAGTGAGCAATGTTCCAACATATGAAATAGCAAGCCATGACAAACCTTACTTTTTGTGTACTAATAGTTGTAGCAATTGGGAAGTCTATCCTCACCATAGTTCTGCAGTCAAGAGTCAGAAATTGTCATTTTTATGATCCTGACCTCTCCAGGCCTGGTGTGATAAGGCCTATCACCTTCTGACAAAGAAAGGATATGATTGGGGGGTAGAAAGTTCCAGCTGAGGACCTGATTGGCCAGAGTCAGGTAGCGCTGGAAGACCGATGACATCTGGGCATTTAGGTTTTCTTGGCGGCTGAACTCCTGCAGCACCTCCATGGTCAACATGAAGATCTGACGCAGACCATCCTCCTAGAAATGAGGAAGGCATTGAAGAAGAAGAAGAAGAAGAACAGAAAGACAAATGGATTCAGGAAATAAAAAGTGATGAAGGAAGAAGCTATTATCTAGAACTAGATCAGAAGAAACAAAACAACTTCACTGCTACACAGAACAGTAGGTGAGGCTGGGAACAAACCTGGAACAGACGCTTGCAACTGCCATGAAACTCCATGCTGAGGCCGATGCTGCTGGTCTTACTCGAGCTGGAGAACTCACTGAGCAGAGCGGTCAGGATGGAGCAGGCCAGGGTTTGCTGCAGCAAAGCAGGGTGGTGTGATCACAGAGGTCAAAGGGTAAACAAAAAGTTATACTGAGGTGAAACTTGAGCTAGTATCATCACTCAATGGCTACGTAGGAGAGAGCCTGCAAGTGCCTCATGCGGAAACACTGGCACTCTGTTCCAATATTAGAATGCACATTAATTCTAAGCAGTGACTGAATACACGTGTCACACTGGAAGATCTACAGAAGTCACGTGTATTCAAAAACAAAAGTGAGTTGCAGGTTGACTTTGAATATGCTGTTAATACACACCATTGTAACAGAGAGTGGTGCTAGCCCACATCCAGAGCAGTATACCAGACACCCTGCACCCCCTGCAGTATGCCTACCGGCCCAACAGGGCCACCTCAGACGCCATCGCGGCTGCACTCCACTATTCCTTTTCTCACCTGGAAAATGGAGACTGAGGATACTCCTCATTGACTACAGCTCCACCTTCAACACAGTTGTCCCCCACAAACTCACCCACAAACTGCACCCCACCCTCTGTGACTGGTTCCTGGACTTTCTGACTGGCAGCCCCCAGACTGTCAGGGTTGGCAATAGAAATTTCGCC